ACGCGTCAACGCTATTGTAAATTTTATAAATACTGCACGATTATCAAAATGATTCATGCGATTTCACCGCCCCCTTATGGTATTAATGTCAAGAAAATATTTGTTTGGGATATTATCGGGTGGTGTCAGAATGGCAGGAATTGAAGCGCACTTTAACACTCTGCACACGGGATTACTCAATTATAAGTGCACGTCGTTGAAGTGTGCAAACTTTGCAATGAACTGGCACCGCCGCCTCCTTTTGTTCCCCCGAGTGCACCGAAAGCAAGATGCCGGCAACGTGAGCTCTCTTTTGAAAAGATGTAAAAATGTGAAGTTTTAAAAAGCACCGGGGGGGTCAGCTGGACTGGCCGGGTCCTGGCACTGCTCTCAAAGCAGCCACCGGCGTCCAACTGGTACCTGCAATACAGCTGCTGCTCTGCTGGAAGAGTTTATCCGCTTTGACCTGTTATCTCCTTGTGCAGTCGGTGGCTTCGGATGCTCTGGTTTCCACCCGTGCGAACAAGGAGGGATTCCCTTTCCTGCCGTCCTCTCGCGCCGGGGTTTTTTATTTCAGCCGCAGAAGCCTCCGATCGTACCCGTCACTGTCCGAGAACCACTTCTTAATAATAATAATAATAATAATAATAATCCTTGCATTTGATATAGCGCTTTTCACGTCAGGAGGACGTCCCAATTCTTCAATCCTTTGAGGCAGACCCAGACGTCTCCCGAGGTGGTGCTCCCGTTTCAGAGGGGGAGCTGATGGACTCAGCACAGTTGCGCCCGCAAGAGTTGTGACATCGAATCATCCCCTTTGGAACGAGAGATGTGTCTGTGACCCCCACCGGGTCCTCTTGCTGCGCCAGCGACAGGTGCAGATGACCGGCCACGTACGGTGGTGCACCGTGTAGTGGGACAAAAAAAACCCCTCTGGTTCTCATCTGCCCCAAAGGCCACTGTTAAACCGGTGTATCCAAATCATTGTCACAACCAACGAAATCTCCAACTCAAATACCTTCCCCTCCTCAAAATGCACTCCCTCTACACACGCACACACACACACACACACACACACATATAGTCATACAACGATGCCTGAGCGATTAATACGGTTTTCCAATTAAGTGCTGCGATACGTCGACAACAACTCTGGCCTTTGATACGGCGCCTCATCACACCTCCGAGACGTCTCGGAGCGCTTCCCGGGACCCGCCGCCAAGTGTAGTGACCGCGCGCCGCGTGGACGAAGCGCGGCGTCAGGCGCGAGGGCTGCGACGGCCGCCAAAAACAACTGAAATTTCCTCCCTCCCTCCCCCACCCCCTGCCCCCCCCCTCCTCTCCACCCCTCCCCTCCCCTCCACCCCTCCCCCCCTCCCCTCCACCCCCCAAAAAAAACCTCAAAAGCGCTGAACTTTGGTTTGGTTTGGAGAGAAAAAACCATGTGCTCGAGTAAGATTTTTTCCCCCCACCCTTTTTTTTTCAACCCCCCCCACCCTCCCCCACTGAAGTGGTTGGACCATGTCAAGCCGAGCACTGCCCCCCCCCCCCCCCCACCCCCCAGACTGCAGCACAGGCAGTGGTGATGGGGAGAGGGGGAGAGGGGGAGAGCAGTCGCTGGAGGTCTCTCTGTGGCAGACTTCGCGTCGCCAATCCGCCCGACGTCATGTTGCCACTCGGCCAACAGCACAGGGCCTGATCACAGCCCCGGAGTGAACAGGAAACTCCATACAAAGGACTGGACTCCATCCGCCGCAGCAAATAGGGAGACAAAAGGAGGGGGTTGTGTGGGGGGGAGAGAGGAGGGGGAGAGGGGGAGAGAGAGAGGAGGGGGAGAGGGGGAGAGAGGAGGGGAGAGGGGGAGAGAGAGGAGGGGAGAGGGGGAGAGAGAGAGGAGGGGGAGAGGGGGGAGAGAGAGGAGGGGGAGAGGGAGAGAGAGAGGAGGGGGAGAGGGGGAGAGAGAGGAGGGGGAGAGGGGGAGAGAGGAGGGGGAGAGGGGGAGAGAGAGAGGAGGGGGAGGAGGGGGGGAGAGGAGGGGGAGAGGGGGAGAGAGAGGAGGGGGAGAGGGGGGAGAGAGGAGGGGGGAGGGGGGGAGAGGGGGAGAGAGAGAGAGGAGGGGGAGAGGGGGAGAGAGAGGAGGGGGAGAGAGGAGGGGGAGAGGGGGAGAGAGAGAGAGGAGGGGGAGAAGGAGAGAGAGGAGGGGGAGAGGGGGAGAACCGCCGTCCAACTCGGTTCTTTCCTGGAAAAGTCACCGCTTCGATGGCATTGACTTTGATCGCTTTTACTTTTCGAACCGCAGCATCAACTCCAGGCTCTGTGTCTGTGTGTGTGTGTCTGTCTGTCTGTGTGTGTCTGTCTGTCTGTGTGTGTGTGTCTGTCTGTGTGTGTGTGTCTGTCTGTGTGTGTGTCTGTCTGTGTGTGTGTTGTCTGTCTGTGTGTCTGTTGTCTGTCTGTGTGTGTGTGTGTCTGTCTGTGTGTGTCTGTCTGTGTGTGTCTGTCTGTGTGTGTGTGTCTGTCTGTCTGTGTGTGTGTTCTCTGTCTGTGTGTGTCTGTTGTCTGTCTATGTATCTATCTGTGTGTGTGTGTATCTGTGTGTGTGTGTGTCTGTCTGTGTGTGTCTGTCTGTGTGTGTGTGTGTGTCTGTCTGTGTGTGGGTCTGTGTGTGTGTGTCTGTGTGTGTGGGTCCTGGTGAAATGAAGACACGCAAACAGCTGCACCAAGTGACTTGTACAGTTTGGGATTCCCATGTTAACAAGTTTACACTCACAGACTCACACTCACTCACACTCACACACACTGGTGCAAAGCAGCAGCACCGATCCCGCGGTTTATAACTTCACGTTCAGTAGCCGCCGTACACATGTCATTTTCTTCTCGTTGTTGTTGTTGTTGTTGTTGTTGTTAATTCTATCCCTGACGATTACAACCCGATTGCGGTTAAACGGCACCCGCTTTCTTCTGCAAAAAAACACCAAGCCGGTTCGTCTTGAAAACAACTCAGAAGTGGTGTGTTCGCAAGAAGAAGAATAATAATCCTTGCATTTCGTACAGCGCCTTATCACGCCGTTGAGTCGTACGAACTGTAAAGTTAATAAAACATAAAATGTACGCCATAAACAACTGAAACAGCTGTGAGGTTGAATAGCAGGTTACTCCACGGGCAAAGTCAAGTCATAATTTAAGGATCCAAAGAATATAAAACTGCAGTGTGCCCTGAATTCATGAAATATTTATCTTTGGGGTATTGCTAACACTAATGCAGATGCAGTCGCCCACGATGGTTTATCACATAGACAGTCACTACACTTCTCTGAGACGTCTCAAAGACGTGATCAGGCGCTGCATCAAATGCAAGGATTATTATTATTATTATTATTATTATTATTATCTGCTCGATCTAAGATTTCTAATTATTTTTGCCCTCAGATGTCTGCTGGGCTTCTGGCGACGGGAGGACTTACTGCAGGAATCCCAACGAACCATTCAGTGATTCACGTCGTTCAAAGTCACAAAAGTAACGGAAAAACGCCGCTCGCATTTTCTTTTTTTTTTAAAAAAAAAGTGACGTCGACTTACAACCGTCGCAAACCGCGAGCGTTTCAGCGGAAATATAAATGAGAACAAGTTCGTAACGGATAAGTTTTTTCCAGCAACACAAATGTAAGGTCATCGATTAACTGCAGTACGAAGCTCGACGCTGAGGATAAATCTGGCATTTAAAATGCTATTGGTGTTGGAAACAACACATACGTTTTTATGATAAATAATAATAATAATAATAATCCTTATTTTTGATATAGCGCCTTATCACTCTCTTCCAAGACTTTGTTGTTGTTGTTGTGGGGTGGGGGGGGGGGGGGGGTTAGTCCTTGTGCTCCTCACGCGCACTCTCCCCCTTTAGTCACTCTCTCACACCCTCCCTCCCATTTACTCTCTCTCCCACTCCCTCCCTCCTTCACACACTCCCTCCCTCCCCTCACTTTTTCACTCCCTCTCACACTCCCTCCTCCCTCTCACTCCCTTCCTCCCTCCCTCCTCCCCCCTCTCACATACTCCCTCCCTCTTCCCTCACACTCCCTCCCTCCTCCCTCTCACTCCCTTCCTCCCTCTCCCTCCCTCCTCCCCCTCTCGTACACTCCCTCCCCCCTCCCTCTCACACTCCCCCTCTCCCTCCCTCTCATACTGCCTCCCTCCCTCGTCCCTCCCTCCCTCTCACACTCCCCCTCTCCCTCTCACACTCCCCCTCTCCCTCTCTCCCTCTCACACTCCCCCTCTCCCTCTCTCCCTCTCACACTCCCCCTCTCCCTCTCTCCCTCTCACACTCCCCCTCTCCCTCTCACACTCCCTCTCCCTCTCACACTCCCCCTCTCCCTCTCCCTCTCACACTCCCCCTCTCCCTCCCTCCCTCTCACACTCCCCCTCTCCCTCTCACACTCCCCTCCCTCCCTCACACACTCCCTCCCTCTCCCCCTCCTCCCCCTCACACTCCCCCTCTCCCTCCCTCCTCTCTCTCACACTCCCCCTCTCCCTCCCTCCCTCCTCCCCTCTCACACTCCCCCTCTCCCTCCCTCTCACACTCCCCCTCTCCCCCTCCCTCTCACACTCCCCCTCTCCCTCCGCCCCTCTCACACTCCCCCTCTCCATCCCTCCCCCCTCCCATCACTCCCCTGGTATCCCCTGGCGGTGTGTGTGTGTGTGTGAGGGGGGGGTTCGCTGTGACCCCTGGCGGGGCGGAAGGATACAGACCGCGCTGGGGCTGGTTGCGGTGGCCCGGGCTGCAGTCTGAGTGTCGCCAGCGGGAGGGAGGGAGAGAGGGAGAGGGAGAGAGGGAGAGAGACGTCGGGGAGTCGGTCGAGCGAAGGCGACCCAACTTGGAGGAGGAGGAAGGAAGGAGGAGAAGGGGAAGAAAGACGGACAGACAGAGGGGGGGACGGAGGGACGGAGGAAAAGAAAAACAGTGGAAAGTGAAAGCGAGAGAGAGAGAGGGAGAGAGAGAGGAGGAAAAAAAAGAGGAGAGAGGAGGAAAAAAAAGAGGAGAGAGGGGGGGAAAAAAGAGAGGAAAAGCCGCCGCCGTCGTCGTCGTCGTCGCCGTCTCCCCCCTCACGGAGAGAGCTGAGCTGAGGCTGAGGCTGAGGTGAGGGGCTCGGGCCGGACTAACGGTCGCCGCGCGGGCTCGAGGCTCTCGGCCGTTGGCGCGAGCGGCGACGTGACGTTGCGGGGGGGGGGGGAGGGGGAGGGGGTGAAGTTGGGCGCGAGCGGTGGCGGTTGGGGGGCGCGACGGTCGGAGCGCGAGGGCTGACGGTGAGAGGGCTGTTGGTGGGGTCTCGGGTCGGGTCGGGCGGCCGCCGGGACCCAAAACTCCAGCAACTTTTTTTTTCTCTCTCTCTCTCACTCACTCTCACTCTCTCTCTCTCTCACTCTCTCGCTCATACTCGTCGACATGGCGGCGGCGGCGCCGCGGCTCGGCCACTGGCGGACTCCTCACACGCGCACATAGGTTTGTGTGTGTGTGTCTCTCCCTCCTCCCCCCCCTCCCTCTCTCTCCCCCTTCTTTCCCCCCTCTCTCTCCCTCTCCCCCCTCTCTCCCCCTCCTCTCCCCCCTCTCTCTCCCTCCTTTCCTCCCCTCTTCCCTTCCCCCCTCCCTCCTCAATCCCATTCCTTCCCTCTCCCTCCTTTCCCCCCCCTCTCCCTCCTTTTCCCCCTTCCCTCTCCCTCCTTTCCCCCTTCCCTCTCCCTCCTTTTCCCCCCTTCCTCTCCCTCCTTTTCCCCCCTTCCCTCTCCCTCCTTTTCCCCCTTCCCTCTCCCTCCTTTCCCCCCTTCCCTCTCCCTCCTTTCCCCCTTCCCTCTCCCTCCTTTCCCCCTTCCCTCTCCCTCCTTTTCCCCCCTTCCCTCTCCCTCCTTTCCCCCCTTCCCTCTCCCTCCTTTCCCCCCTTCCCTCTCCCTCCTTTTCCCCCCTTCCCTCTCCCTCCTTTCCTTCCCTCTCCCTCCTTTCCCCCCTCTCTCTCCCTCCTTTCCCCCTTCCCTCTCCCTCCTTCCCTCCCCCCCCCCTCCCTCTCATGCTCTGTGGCTTTAAAAGTCGTTTTCAAATTGGTTCTCCTTCAACTCTTAACTCTCTGCAGCCGAGGCCTTTCTTTTGGGAGAAACATTCAGGTTTCAGTGTACATATATATATATACACACACACAGGGTGTCCAAAAAGTTGTGAAATCATTACAATGTCCTATTACATCTCTAAAGAAATTATGGTATTTTTTTTGAGGGTAGGGTAGATATCACGACTTGTTGATCACCATGTGTGTGTGTGCATATAATATACATAAAAACTTTTATTTCTCTCCTCCCTCCCTCCACCCCCCCCCCCCCAACACCCTCTCTTGAATTATTTTTAACTCCATGATGCATGAGTTTGAGTTTGCTGAGAGCTCCAGAGTTGCGTTTGCTTGCAGGTTGGTTGCGGGAAAAAAAACAAAGCTGGTTGAGCTGGAGAGTCAGTGAGTTCTCTTTAAATACAGTTTTTTTTAATCAAAAAAAAGTTAACCTTTTCTTAATAACATCATCTGGTGTAAGAGTGTGACGTTTGGGTTTGAAAGAAGGAACCGATTGTTTGATTTAAAAGGAGAAAGTTTGAAGCGCAATTGTGTATGTATGAAAGGCCACGAACAATCCCATCCCCTCTCTGGGTGAAGTTGTGACAAATTGAATTCAGTTTGGATAAGTATAATCTTTAGAAAGAACCTAGTTTTTAAATGCTGTACACTGTCCAGCGCCTTGGGACGTCCTCCCAATGTGAAAGGCGCTATACAAATGTAATCTTGTTGTTGTTGAGTTAGATGATATTGCTCAGTAATCTACAGATCAGATAATGATGGTAAATGAAGCAGATCAGTTAATGATGGTAAAGGTCAAAGGGATCAGGTACATTTTAGATTTTAGTTTCAGAAGAAAGTTAGTGATGGAGCACAGATTCTGTACAGCTGAAGGCCAGTCAGTTCATAATGCAATTCCTCTGAAGTTTTAGGATTAATCCTTATTAAGATGGTTTGTCTTGCACTCATTAAAATAACATGGATACGTATGGGTTTGGTGGAGTTTAATTCATACTCACTGTGCTGTGAATGGACTTTTTTGTATTGTTCAAAGGCAGGTTTGTATCCAAGCTTTGTTTTTTTTTAAAAAAAGTAAATTTTGCTTAAACATATCTAAGTTCAAAACTATTGTGCAAATCATTAAATGACTACTGTTTTCAAAGATTTGCCTGATAGTTTAGCATTTTTCCATACAGTGCAGAATGTTGAAGAATGAAAACTTTTCTCTTTTGTTAATCACTTAAAATTAAAGTACTCTGATGAAGAATGGAAATAAGATTTAGGGTAAGATTTTCTAAGGCATAATTCCAAATGAGTGAGCCATTATAAAATCCTTCAGTGTCTTGGTCAGAGGAGTTTTGGGTCTAGTTTTGGCTTTTGATTTCAGGGTATTGGAAATCTGGAACTCTACTCCAAAAGGCTGTGGATGTTGGGTCCATTCAAATTTTCAAGACTGAGTTGGGTAGATTTTTGCTAAGGGTATCAAGGGATATGGGGCAAAGGCGGGTAATTGGAGTTGAGGTACAGATCATTCATGATCTAATTAGAATGGTGGAACAGGCTCGATGGGCTGAATGGATTACTCCTGTTGCTATGTCTAGTTCTCAACATCAAAATAAATATTCTATATTCCGTTTACACCAACAGTATTGATGCAGACCTTTGAGCGGCATTTATAATAATAATAATAATCCTTGCATTTGATATAGTGCCTTATCACATCTTCGAGATGTCTCAAAGTGCTTCACAGAATATACTGTAAAGTGAATTGACTATATTTTGTGGGCAAAACGTGGCAGCCAATTCCACACTGCAGCGTCCCAGAAACAGTCATGGATTGAAGTGACCAATTATTATTTTCTATTTATGTGAAGTAGTGGAGCAAAGTTGGTGTGAATTGCCTCCAGTGCCGTATTTAGTTTGCTGTGCTGTTTTACCATTTGACTGGAGTCCCACCTTCCTGCTCCTCCCCAGGGCACTGAGTACCATTTTGATATGTGCCTCCAGAGCCAGCAAAATGAAGCTTTAGTTTTAACTGCCTGTGGCGATGCTACCAGTGGGAGGTTTTCATGGTACAGCATTGACCTGTATGGAATTTCACAGGGATCTGGGAAATATAGTAATAAAAAAAAGAAAGTTGTAAACATTCTAAATAGTTGTGAGTTAGTAAGAGTTGGTACCTATGTGCTTCAATATTATTTTCACATGGTTTCCTGTGGAATGCTTATAGTCATGCACCTCAAACAGTAGTTCCAGCAATACTATTGTGCCAAATAAGCCTAATGAGTATATCTGAACTGCTGCTTACATTGGAGATGATTTTTCTTCGGCAGATGATGTGGTTGGTGTCTATAAAGCAATCAGGGCTAGTAACTACACGTGATTTTTAACCCCCCTCTCCCAACCCCAGGGGGTCTTGAGGCCAATTGTACTGCTCAAATTGCTACTAGAGTTAGATTTGAATCTCAGGCTGAGCTCTTCAGTGGAAGGTGCCTTTTTGGCTATTCAGAGTTTTGATTTTTGAATATACTGGAAGGTCACTATCCAGAAAAACATGTTACAAATAACTATCCATGGTTAGTTTGTTCTGGCTCTGCTGAACACTTGAAGTAGTTCTGTAATACTGTTTAACTATGAAATTATACTGGTGCGGCAGATTGCATTGGGAACAGTGACTAATGATCTGATTTGATTAACCCACACATTTTCAGTAATGACTATCCTCCCTTCCTCTCCCTATTTTCACGTTCCCATGTGTGAAGAACAGACTCTAAATGTGGAGTGAAACATAATGTACTGCCTTTAACAATTTCATAAATTATTAATGAAAAGCTTGACACATGAAAACAATGTTTTTATGATTTGGTGGATATTGCATTTGAACAAAATATAGAAAGGCAACAATTGTCATAACTGTTATCATAGGATAATAATTTTATTGTGAAACATATCTTAAGCACAGATAGTTTAAAAAATACATTTTGTAAGAGTTTGAACAAATCTATAAATTATTAATAATAAATAAAAATAATTTCTGGAGATCCAGAAGATGGCTCAAAGAATATGTTAAGGACCATCCATAAGGAGATGTGACTTAACCTTTATAAATATTGCACTTGTGTTCTAAATATGATCTCCCTGGAGGTCATAGTAAAAGCAAATTTGCAGTGTTTTCTGACCTGCTGGAAACCGTGTATTGATTTTTTTAGCAAAGCAATGTTGGAAAATGAATCTTTGTTTCCCGTCAGTATGATTCAGGAAGTCTGATTGTATTGTAAGACAACTGAATAATTCATGTGCTTGGAAGACATGATACAGAGAGGTAGTCTAACTGCTATTCTAAAAATATTAAAAATTGCAATGCTGAGAAACATTGAAATAAATCACATTGTATGTTTCTACATTAATCCATTTGTTTGTCTTCCTTTGCTGAAGGATTTTTCTTTGTCATATCTTGATTAAAACATTTTTTTTCAAACTGCAGTTTTTAGAACTGATTTCTGCAGCTTTTGGATGTAACCACATTTTAGAGTGAAATGTTACTATAGCATATGCCAAATACATCCAAGTTGACCTCACTGCTAGCCTCGATAACCTGACCTACATGACCATTTACAAGTAATTGACTTATTTTATTCTATGACTGGAATTCAACTTTCCTTTGATGACTGTGTCAAGCTTTGATCATTGTTTGATGTGTGGTGCATTGGTATGAAAGTGAGATTGCTGGAAATGTATTCAACAGCAATTAATTTTTTGTCTTGTGTTTTCTGAATATTCTGTCTGGCTCCAGCTTTAAACCATAACTGATGTGCTTTTTACATCAAGTCCTGGATGAGGGTAAATTTCCTACAGTTGAATGTGAACAAGACTGAGGCCCTCCTGATCGGCTCGTGCCAGCGCCTCAGCACCTCAGTCTCTGGCACCATCAACCTCCATGGTTGCACACCACAACTCACCAGCCAGTCAGGAACCTGGGGGTCTTGTTCAACCCTCAACTGTCTTTTCTCCCCACATTCAAGTCATGACCCACTCTGCCTTCCCTCAC